CCCCAAAACCCCAAAACCCCAAAACCCCAAGCTTCTAAAATATCGGCATCATAGCTAAAATTATATTAATAAAATAAAGATTTCATAACATAGAGTTTGATTAATTTAGCTCTATTTTCTACGCCTCCTCTAAAATCAACTAGTTCATTAACCTAGAATTGTTTAAATCAGTATTATCTGTGATGAAAAGAAATTTTCGGTTTTCTGTTGTTTTTGAGACTTAATTAGTATTTCTACTTTTAGATTTCTTTTGAGGATACTATGATTTGGCTGCTTTTGCTTCTTCTCTCATGTCTTTTATGTCTTAAACCAATGTCTTTAGCAATTTCTATGTTAAAATTATATTTTCTAAAAGGTATATTTACATTATTCTCGATTAGTAGCTTTAATGGTCTTTCATGAATATTAAATGCAACTCTTTTTGGATTCGCATAGGCTAACTCACTAAGAATCAGTCTACTCTACTTATCAATTTGATAAAGGTTTTCATCTTTAATCTAAAGTGAATGATTACTAGTTTTAGAATTTGATTTTTTCAAAGATTCTCTCAACGTGTGTTGATTAAGCTTTAATTTCATTTTTGCATCCTTTACTAAAGCAAATAAAATATCAAGATTAATCAAATCTTTCTCATCACTACAATTACTTGTAAATATCTTGAGATTGTTATATACCTGTAATGATAAAAGCTCGTTAGATTAAAGGATTTAATAATTAATTTACGAACTTTCATCAATATTTCCGTATATAAGTTTTGAAATGTGTTATGTTATTTGCAATTTTTCTCTCAGCTGTTAGAGAACATCTAATTTATGAATAGTAAGTTAACCCTAACTAATCTAATTACAAATTATTTTGAGAAGAGCATTTATAGATTCAAGGGAAAGCTATAGTCTAACCTTTTGATATATTTTATCCTAATTATCGTAAAATAAATGTCTTAAGTATACTATTATATCTCTAAATTAAGATAACAAAAGCATAGGAATACCAGTTAAAATAAATATAAATAGTCCAAATAACTAAATTGATAATGCCTCTTAACTTGAAATTAACCGTCTCAATAAGCAATATATTTATGATAAATAAGCGAACGGCATTAACAATATATTCAATACAATAAAAACACAAGTTGAAGAAATTGCAACTGGTAAATAACTTATTAATAGTAGATAATCATTTAGTCGCTTCATGATTAACTTATCTTTTTACAGTAATCCCAATAGACTTACAGGAAATATTAGCAAATTGAAGGGAGGAAAGCTGCAAACCATGCATCCATAGTACTTATCATATTGATATTTTGGAATTGCTTCAATGATCTCATCGTAGTACAATGCCAATCTTTTTTAATATAAAATTGAAAATGTAGTTGCTAAGAGAGCAATGAGTAAGTTAATCAAAAGAATACAATTTGCTATTAGAAAAATCAGGTGGAATACTTGCCCAAAAACTGGACTTATCAGCAAATCATTATAAATTGATAAATCCCATGTGCCCATTGCGCTCTATATTAACATTATAATTGTTGCATGAAAATCTTCATACTCATCTAACTCGCCAAACAAGAGCATTCCTAAGAAAGTAAAGAAAATCAAATTAACTCCCCAAACAACCCCAAATTAGTAAATATTTATTCCCATGCTTTAAATTATCTTAATCAATGGACCGAAGCTTCTAGTTAACTTGAGCATTATTGCTACTTTTAACCACAAAAATCCAGAATGAATTGCTAGTAAAATATCAAATCTAAAGCTTCCATCATCTATATCTTCTATTGTTTTCAAGACAAATATCTAATTTTAACTAAGGCAATCTCCATAAATGTGCTTCAGGCAAGTTTTTGTTAAGTTAGAGCTATGGTATATCATCCAATTAACTACACATATTGTCATCGCTATTTCAAGGATGAGATTAGCATTTAATAACTTATATTTTCTATGAGTGAGAGTAGCAAAAAGCATTTGCTAAATTATTCTTATCGGGAAGGAGTACATAACAATTGATACAAACATTGCTAGATTAATATCATATCCAGCATCTTCCAGCTATTGGTCAATTATTTAGACATAATTTTGCAATGCTAATAATTCACCATCTTTAATTTAAGACATTTCTTCTCTTAATTGGTGCACTAAACTATTAAATGAATCTATGTAGATATGGAAGAATATAGAAAGACCTATAAACACAAATGCTTCTATGAAGTACCTTATTTGCATAGATTTTTTCCATACTTCGAACTAAAATGTATGTGATTTCAATTTCTTTAAATCTATCTTTTTGTAAAATCTGTTTTATTCCTCAAATTATGGTAAAAATCTAGTTGAATTGCTCATTATTATCCTAAAACTTGAAGATGCTTCTATTAAATATCCTGTCACATCTTTACTACTTTTCCAGAAATCTTGAAGAATCTTATCAGTTGAAGTTGTATCTAGTATTGTATAAACATTATACAGTGACATATAGTATAATGAGTCATTTCCTCGTAAATCTTTTTATTTTAATAGCTATTTTAGTTCATCTGAATTTGTGATAGCTTTAATGATTCTTTTTGTAAGATCTTCGATCTCGATTTTCAAAAGATCTATTCTAAACAAAGCCACCTTAAACTTCCTTTTAATAAGATACAGTATATCAATAAGAATCATAGCCAGCTTAATTGGATTTGAACTATAAAAGAAGAGATTCTAATCCCCTTTGACAAGAATTTCAAGGTATTGAATGAAGTTATCGAATTGAACATATTTTATGTAGTCAAAGAGCTTGATTAAGAAGAGTATTTTAAACTCATAAAATTAAGGCTTTTTAGTTTGATCAATTAAGTAGTCAATGCATTGAGATAAATAGGTATCAGTTTCAAAATCCTCAAAATAGATGATAAGATGTATAGCCGAGTCAAACTATTCTTAATCTAAAAAAATCTTAAATGTCTCTCCTATTATCTATTGTTTAACCATTGATTCAAGTATTTTTCCACTAGCCATTGAAAAAATGATCGCTTTCATATCTCAAGCTAATAGTTCTTTAATAAGTTTTGATGTATCAATCAAATCCTGAAGCTGTGTTATTATTTCCAGGATTTTATATTTTTATTCAGTAGAAATTTAATTTTTCTTCATATTTTTACCCCTTTTCATTTAATGAACCTAAGAATCAATTTATATCATTACTAAATCTGATAATTTTAATTGTTTATCTATAGTTTATGAATTTGGATCATTCTCAATAGTAGTAGAGGCATATTACATTTTTATAGTTCCATTAATAGATTTAAAAGAGTTTGAACTAACATTGTTGGAATGAGTTGACTTTTTTAGCTATTTCACAACAAATTTATTTTTAATCAAGGCCCTAATTATATTATAGGATTTGTTGTTTAGCAAATATAATATGTCTTCAGTTTCAATTGTAATGCTAATGAACTTGTTTAAGGCATGATCAGCTATTTTCTAAATATAGTTTATATCATTTTCAATATCTCCCAAAATCAAATGTTGAATAGCTTTGTCAAAGATAATCTTAATTTCTTTTCTTGATGAACTAATCATTTACCTTGAATTCATTTAGGCTATT